ACAGGCGTGAGCACCAGCGCTGGCTCTGGTTGTGTTTTTAATCTCTCTGTGCTCCTATCCCCTGTCTCATTCCTAATACTGTGTATCTGGCTCTTTACCTAGAGTAAACTTTTTCAAACTTTGTTTTCAAACTGCTTCAAAGAAATCACTTTGGAAGTCATTTTTAGTTGTTGGTTTTGTCTTATCAATTAACGTCTGCTTTTGACTTTGCAATGCCTCATCCTTGTGTGGTTTTTTTTTTTTCCTCCTTTGGTCGAGGGTCTGGAACTCTGGGCCTGGGCACTGTCCCTCAGCTCTTCAGCTCAAGGCGAGCGCTCTACCACTTGAGCCACAGCGCCACTTCCAGTTTTCTGGTAGTTAATTGGAGATAAGAGTCTCATGGACTTTCTTGCCCGGGCTGGCTTTGAACCACAATCCTCAAATCTCAGCCTCCTGAGTAGCTAGGATTACAGGCAGCTCCTCATGGCTTTCAAAGTGTTTATATCACTTCTTCAGATGATTTATTTCACTGTGGGTAGTAATTCTTGCTCACTGATGAAAGTCATGATTTTTTTTTTTAATGTGTGTGTGGTTGAGAGCAATCACCACCTCACTCCATAAATTCTTTTTTGTTTGTTTGCTGCTTGCTTCTTTGTGACTGTACTGGGGCTTGAACTCAGGGCCTGGGCACTGTCCCTTAGTCTTTTTTGCTCAAGACTGGTACTCTACCACTGAAACACAGCTCCATCTCCAGCTTTTAATTGGGGATAGAGACTCACAGATTTTCCTGCTTGGGCTGGCTCCAACCACAATTCTCAGATCTCAGCCTCCTGAATAGCTGGGATTACAGGCATGAGCCACTGGCTCCTGGTTGCTAGATACATTTTAATTATATGTTATTTTCATTATAGTGATTTTTTAAATATTCTGTAAGGGTAGTTTAATTTTCTCACAGACTCATTAATGTTATTCAAATCAAGAAGGTTGTTAATTCATTCATTTGTGTGCTGCTTTGTGATTAGAAGCAGGCTAGAAAACTTCCACTCTGCAATTTGTAGGTATTTTTGGTATAAATCTCTTTAATCAGTTTCTGTTCTGTGAACATCTGAAAATAATGTTAATTCTTTTTTTTTTTTTTTTGTCAGTCGTGGGGCTTGAACTCTGGGCCTGGGCGCTGTCCCTCAGCTCTTCAGCTCAAGGCCAGCGCTCTACCACTTGAGCTACAGCGCCACTTCCGGTTTTGTGGTGGTTTATTGGAGATAGGAGTCTCACGGTCTTTCCTGCCCGGGCTGGCTTTGAACCTCGATCCTCAGATCTCAGCCTCCTGAGTAGCTAGGATTACAAGCGTGAGCCACCAGCGCCCGGCAATAATGTTAATTCTTTACAGGCAATGGAAAGTCTACTACAGCATTAATTAGTATTAATCAAATATTTTCTTTTTTTAAAATTGCACCAACACTGGGATTTGAACTCATGGCCTCATGCTCTCCTTCAGTGTCTTTGGTCAAGGCTCTCACTCTACCACTTGAGCCATGGCTTCACTTCTGGTTTTCTGGTATTTCATTGGAGATAAGAGTCTCATGGACTTTCCTGTCTGGGCTGGCTTTGAACTATGATTCCCCAGGGCTCAGCCTCCTAGTAGCTAGGATTACAGACAGAATATTTTCTGTCATTTTTAACAGTGTTTGCTTTAGATGTACAAACACATATCTGAACCTATATTTTTCTACCAATATTTAAAAATATGTATTAATACTTTATAAATAATATTTATTAGCACTTTACAAATAATTTCCTTCTACCATTCTCCTCACCACCACATTTTTATTGAAATCCCATGGAATTCTCACTGTAAAGCCAAACATGGGCTGGGTGCCTTCTATTTGCCATCTTCTGGATCTCAGCCTGCTGAAAAGCTAGGAGTACAGCACCCAGCTTGCTTCATTGGTTTTATTGTTGTCTGCATGCCTTGCCTTCCTTGAACTCTCCCCTTTGATTCATTTCTTAGTGGTAGAAGTAACTCTTTGGGAACATTTTGTTTTTGTTGCTAGTTGTGTGGATATCCTGCATGCCTAGGACAAGTATTCAAAAGTCCTTTAATGTCTGAAAGTGTCTTTGTGTTGTTCTCAGAGCTGGGTTGTTCCAGCAACATTGGACAGTCCACGTACAGTGGCTCACGCCTGTCATGCAAGCTACTCAGGAGGCTGAGATCTGAAGATCAAGGTTTAGGGCCAGGTTGGTCAGGAAACACTGTGACATTCTTATCTACATTAATCAGAAAAGAAAAACAAAACTGAAGTGGAGCTATGGTTCAAGTGACAGAGTACTAGCTTTCTGTGAAAAAGCCGAGCAAGAGTATAAGGTCCCGGCCGGGCACGGCGCCTCACACCTGCAATCCCAGCTACTAGGAGGCTCTGCGGGACTCCTATCTCCAATAAACCACTCTAAAAACCGGAAGTGGCGCTGTGGCTCAAGTGGCAGAGTGCTCGCCTTGAGCTGAAGAGCTGAGGGACACAACTGACAAAAAACAAACAATCAAGTAAAAACAAATAATAAGAAATATAGGGCAAGGAAAGGAGTTTTGTTCATTCTCCATTGGTTGAGATGGGAGACAATGGCAGGGTGAAGATGTACAAGACATAAACATAAAATGACAATGCAAAGGACATTTCATCAACAAGAAGTGTGAACTCACACATCAATATGCAATAATAATTACTGCCTATCTATCTATCTATCTATCTATCTATCTATCTATCTATCTATCTATCTATCATAACAAAGCTGGATGCTGGTGACTCACACCTGCAATCCCAGCTACTCAGGAGGCTGAGATCTAAGGATCACTGTTTAAAGCCAGCCTGGGCAGGAGAGTCTGTGAGATTCTTATCTCCAGTGAACCACCAGAAAACTGGAAGTGGTACTGTGGCTCAAGTGGTAGAGTGCCAGCCTTGAGCAAAAGAGATCAGGAACAGTGCCCAGGCCCTGAGTTTAAGCCCCATGACTAACAACAAAAAAAGTGCATGTGTGTTTGTGTGTGCACGTGTGTGTACACGTGTGCACACACACACACACACACACAGTAACAGCAGTGGGACTGGACTGGAGCAGCACCCTGCCAAGCAGGGTGGCCAGGCAGGGTAGCTGCAGAGGTGGGGAAGGACTTGGGGACCGCAGGAAAAGATCCCTTGAGGCTCTGGTTGAGGATGGAGTGCAATGTTTGTGGTCCCTCTAGGAGCTCAGCTCTGATGTGAGTATCCTCAAAAACTGACCATGAGCCAAAGCCATGGAACACTGAGCACCCAGCACCAAGCAAGGAGCAGCCAGCCTAGGCCTCCTGCCAGTAAAGATGGCGGCAGGGAGCAACTCGTCTTTTCTGTTCAGTTCCGTCCCAGCCACCCTCCAGGCCACAGCTCCATGTGGTGCTGTGCTCAGTGTCACACTGGCCACACTGTCATCTGCTCTAGTGACATCCATTCCCCTCCTCCCAACACTGACCCAGGGCCCGCCTGCCTCCTTCCTTTCTTCCTTCCTTCCTTCCTTCCTTCCTTCCTTCCTTCCTTCCTTCCCCTTTCTTTCTTTCTGTTACAGTCCTGGGGCTTAAACTCAGAGTATGGGTGCTGTTTCTCAGCTTTTCTGCTCAAGGCTAGCACTCTACTACTTGAGTCATAGCACCACTTCTGACTTTTACTGTGATTTAATTGGAGCTAAGAGTCTCAGAAACTTTCCTGTGTGGCCTAGCTTTGAACTGCGATCCTCAGACATCAGCCTTCTGAGTAACTAGATGTGAGTCTAGGTGTGAGTTAGGTATGAGCCACCAGCCCCTGGCTCACTCTTCCTTTTTTCTTTTCCTTCCTTCCTTCCTTCCTTCATTTCTTTTTCTTTCTTTCCTTTCTTTGTGTGCCAGTCCTACACTTGAACTCAGGGCCTGGGTGCTATCCCTGAGCTCTTTTGCTCAAGCTAGTGCTCTACCACCTGAGCCACAGCTCCACTTTAGGCTTTTTTGGTGGTTCATTGAAGATGTTTATTTTCATGGACTTTCCTGACTGACCTAGCTTTGAACTGAGATCCTCAGATCTAAGCCTCTTAGTGGCTAGGTGAATTGTTTTTATTTTATTTCATTTATTACTATATTTTGTGCTGTTTGTGGGGCTTGAACTCAGGGTCTGGGCACTGTCCCTGAGCGTCTTTTGCTCAGTGCTAGAGCTCTACCACTAAGCCACAGCACCACTTGGGTATTTTTGCTGGTTAATTGGAGGTAAGAGTCTCTCATGGACTTTCCTGTCCAGGCTGGCTTCAAACCATGATCCTCAGATCTCAGTCTCCTGAGTAGCTGGTATGACAGGCGTGAGCCACTGGTGTCCAGCTGGTGAATTGCTTTTACTACTCAGAATCCTATGACACAGGTTGGCTGAGAGAAAATCAAGCCCCAGAGAAAGCATGGAATTGCCCTGGGATGCACGGGCAACGCACCTGCATGGACCTGGCTGGCCATGTTCAGTTTCAGTTGCCAAGGCCTAGGATGTACAGCAGAGCGGAGCCGTCTGACTGCAGGAACCACGCTTCCAGCCACACCTGTACCTCTCACACTGTGTCGCTGGGCTCCGCAGAGGCCTGGCACACATACCCCAAGGTCCGGCGCTGATGCTCATGCCTGTCATCCCAGCTATTCAGGAGCCTAAGATAGGAGGATCACAATTCAAAGCCACTGCAGGCAGAAAAGTCCATGAGACTTTTATCTCCACTGAGCCACAAAAAGCCAGACGTGGAGGCGTGGCTCAAGTGGCAGTAGAGCACCAGCCTTCCCTAGAATGAGAATGTGAGGCCCTGAGTCCAAGCCCCAGTACCAGCACACACACACACACACACACACACACACAACCAACACAAAAGGGGGTTGAAGGCATGGTTCACATGGTAGAGCACCCAGCATTCAATCTGCATTACCACAATGGAAAACAGAGATTTGAGTCACCACGAACAGTCATGGCTGTGCTCTTTCTGCCCGGCTCTCTCCCCAGGGGTGGAAAATGGTCCAGGCTGAGCCCACGCCAGAGGAGGAGCCCCCATTTCTGCCCCACCATGGAGGAGCCGAGCCCCGAGCCCGTGTACGTGGACGTGGACAAGGGCCTCACCCTGGCCTGCTTCGTCTTCCTCTGCCTTTTCCTGGTGGTCATGATCATCCGCTGTGCCAAGGTTATCATGGACCCCTACAGCGCCATCCCCACGTCCACCTGGGAGGAGCAGCACCTGGATGACTGAAGCCCCCAGGGGGCCCCAGCCCTGTCCTGGTCCCCCACCTGGCCCCCACCCCAGAGGCCCGCGGGGATCCTACCTCTGGACCATGGGGGTGTACCGAGGCCTGCACGGGTCACAGTGGCCCGGGGACGGGTCCGGGGCTCCTGGGGCTCCAGGCAGGGGGGCTGCTGTGAGGCCCCAGTGGCCTCTCCTCCACCCCCTGTGCACCTCAGGGAAGTGAACCCCGCATGGCCAACTCCCCTTCAAAGAGATCGGGACCTTCAAATGCACAGCAGCACACGGGTGCTGAGACCATGCCCGGAGCCCAGCCCCGGTCCCAGGGCCTGGCCAGGGGGAAGGCCGTGAGGGGCACACAGAGGACTGGGGTGCCTTCCCCCCATAACAACAGCACAAAGGCGCACAGGCTGCTTCCAACTAGTGGTCTGTTTCGTTTTGTTTGGAAGTTAAATTATAGAAGGATATATTTTTCCTGTTACAAATAATATGTGAATGGTAGAAGCATGTACACATAGAAAGATAAAGGAATTGGGGGTGGCCCTGCTGCACCCACACTTTCCTGGAAGCCATCCTCCTCCTCTGTTTGTGCCAGCCTTTCTGAGCGTGTGTTTTGGGTCCAACTCCTAATACTGTGCACATGACGCAGAGCCTGTGTCTGTCCCTGTGATAGGGTGGGGGTGCTTACCCCCCCCTTCTTCCGACTGCACTGTAGCAGCTTGAGTTCTGTGCTTGTTTATTCTTGGTTTCTTACCAATCCTAGGGCTTGAACTCAGGTCCCAGGAGCTGTCCCTGAGCTTGTTTGCTCAAGCCTGGCACTCTACCACTTGAGCCACAGTGCCACTTCTGGTTGTTTTTGATGATGAACTAGAGATTAGAGTCTCACAGACTTTCCTGCTTGGGCTGACTTCGAACCATGATCCTCAGATCTCAGCTTCACGTGTAGCTGGGATGACAGACGTGAGCTACCGGTGCCCAGCCATAGCTGGTTTTAACAACAAGCATTCCAGCAGGTGGCTTATTATCCTGTTTGCCTCCTTGTAAACTTCCAAGGCCCACAGTCCAGGGGATGAGTGTTGGACCGGGAGACCTGGGTTCTAATCCTCCTTAAGCCATTCAGAGGCTGTGTGACCCTCAGCAAGACCGGCCACCTCTCTGTGCCTCAGCTTCTCACTGGAAGATGAGAGGAAAGCTCTAGAACTGTGGCTCAAGTGGTAGAGAGCTAGCCTTGAGCACAAAAGCTCAGGGACAGTGCCCAGGCCCTGAGCTCAAGCCCCAGGACCAGCATATGTGCTCCCTTCACACACACACACACACACACACACACACACACACACACACACACACACGACACAGCAGCTGTGGCAGTCATCCTCATGCGTCTGGTCCTGACAGTCCAATCCTGCAGCCATGGATCCCCAGGGAAATGAGTTCCCAGAGCACCATCACCCTCGAGTCCCCCTGAACACGGAGGAGCGCCATCGCCCAGACATTCCAAGGTGCGACCAGGTCCCTCCCCTCCCCCACTTCGTGGACCACACAAAAACAGAGGCCCGAGCTCCACTGGAGGCTCTGGGCGTGTGGGGCGGGCTCCAGACCCCGTGTCCTCTGCAGCCCAGCTCCTCGGTCAGCTGGAGGGCCACTCACAGGATGGGGGGCTGCCCTCAGAGCCACAAGCAGAGACCAGGCTGGAACACACAGCACTCGGAGGAAATGGTGATGAACCCCACGCCACAGGCAGAACCTCACGGGTCATGGGGCTCCAGGATCTCCCTCCAGCAAGAGCCCCATAGGGAGACACTGATGGGCTCTGCCCAGGAGTTCCTTAGTCCCTGCCAGCTTTTGCTCACACATGGATCCCCTAGTGGATCCATTAGCTCATGGACCCGTTTCTTTCAGCAATGAGAGTTTCAAATCGGGGGTGGGGGGAGGCTGCTAACAAAACAATGCTTTATATGTTGTGCTCATAAACCCCCTTGTCCAGGTGCAAATGTTTCTTTCCTCCTTTTTCTTCTGATTTTTGTGCCAGTCCTGGGGCTTGAACTCAGGGCCTGGGCACTGTCTCTGAGCTTTTTTTTTTTGCTCAAGGCTGTACTCTACCACTTGAGCTACAGCACCACCTCTGGTGGTTCATTGAGTCTATATGAGGACTTTTTTGGCAGAAGCCATCACAAACAACATGTAATGCACACAGTTGGTGACGCTAACCCGTGGGCTCCACACGTGCAGCCATCTTAAATAGCGGTCAAGTTCCATCTTAAATAGAGGTCAAGAGGAAAAACAAAAAGCTAATAGGACATGGTGATGCACATCTATAATCCCAGCTGATCTCAGGGGGCTGAAATCTGAAAATCTCAGTTCAAACCCAGCTGGGGGCCAGGTGCTGCTGGTTCACGCCTATAATCCCAGCTACTTAGGAGGTTGAGATCTGAAGATCATGGTTCAAAGCCAGCCAGGGCAGGAAAGCCACTCAGAAAACCATAAGTGGTACTATGGCTCAAGTGGTAGAGCACTAGCCTTGAGCTGAAGAGCTGAGGGACAGCGCCCAGGCCCAGAGTTCAAGCCCCACAACCTACAAAAAAAAAGGGGGGGTAGGAAAGCTCCCTGAGACTCTTATCTCCGATGAACCAGCAAAAAGACCGAAGTGGAGCTGTGGCTCAAGTGGTAGAGCACCAGCCTTGCACAAAAGCATAGGGACAGTATCTAGGCCCTGAGTTCAAGCCTCAGGTCTCTCTCTCTCTCTCTGTCGTACACACACACACACACACACACACACACACACACACAGCTGCCTGTTTCCTGGGTTCCTGAGGACAGGGCCTGATTCCTCACTCCTACTCCTTCCTATGAGATGCGTGGCTACTGCCAGGTGACATGGACATGGGGTTAGCAGGGGAGAAGAAACAGGGAAAGCTGGGTACTGGTGGCTGTAATCCTAGCTACTCAGGAGGCTGAGATCTGAGGATGGTAGTTCAAGGCCAGCCCAGGCAGAAAAGTTCGAGAGACTTATCTCCAAGAACCAGAAAACCAAAAGTGGTGCTGTGGTTCAAGTAGTAGGGCACTAGCCTTGAGATGAAGAGCTGAGGGACAGCACTCAGGCCTATAATTCAAGCCCCACGACCAACGAAAGAGACAGAGAAAGAGAGAGAGAAGAAGAGGGAGATAGCTGGCAGTAAAGAGAACTCAGAGCAGGCCAGAAGGAAAACCCAGCTTGGAATCAGTGCCTACCTCTGGAATGGGTGGTGAATGCACACCTCTGTCCAGGCCTGGCTTCACGTGCGGCCTTGTGTGGGCATGCTCTGTAGGACAATGAAGAGTGCTGGGCCCTGGGCCACTGAGGGAGGAAAAAGAAATGCTGGCTGGGCACCGGCAGCTCATGCCTAGAATCCCAGCTACTCAGGAGACTGAGATCTGAGGATCGTGGTTCAAAGCCATCCCGAGCAGGAAAGTTCATGAGATTCTTATGTACAAAGAACCAGTCAAAAGCCAGAAGTAGAGGTGTGGCTCAAGTGGTAGAGTGCTAGCCTTGAGTGAAAAAGCTCAGGGGCAGCCCCAGGCCCTGAGTTCAAACCCTAGTACCAACACACACATGCGCACGCATGTGCATGCACACATACTTGCCCAAATTCTACCAGGCACTGGTAGCTCATGCATGTCAGTTATTTGAGAGGCTGAAATCTGAGCCAGCCCAGACAGGAAAGTCCATGAGACTCTTCAATGAGCCACCGAAAACTGGAAGTAGAGCTCAAGTGGTAGATGCTTGCCTTGAGCTGCCGAGCTGAGGGGTTTGACTCAGAAGGGGGTGGGGGTGGGGAAGGGAGGAGTTCCCCACGGCTACTGTGTGGGGAAGTGGGGTAAAAAGGAGAGTGGCCCCTATCTCCCCCTTCCCGCACATACTCCCCCCTTCCTGCACACCTGGGGACCCAAGGGTGCTATGGGATCTCAGGTGGTCTGAGCCCCTGGCCAGGGCCGGCTGTGTGGTGCAGTGTGCTGTGGCAGCCAGTGTGGGCTTGAGTCGACTCCACACCATGTGTGCCCCCTCTCCTCGCCCGGACACCAACAGCCCGGCCACACTCAAACCCCAGCACCCAGCCTAGTCCAAGCTCTCCCCAGAAAAACAGGTGGGAGCCACGTGAGGTACGGGCCTGGGCCTGACACAGGGACTCCCGAGGACTGCTTGGGGGGGTTCCACCACAGCCCAGCCGGGCCCAGGCTCCACACCCCACCTCGAGATGCCCAGCCAGGCCTGGAAGCGGAGGCCTGCAATCACAGCCACTGGGGGCAAAGATCGGGCATCGTGGTTCTCCAGGGCATAAAAATAAGGACTCCATCTCAGCTCTCGGCCCAGTGCCATGGTCCCTGCCTGTTATTCCAGCCTCACGGGGCAGGGAGGGGGGCATGGCTGGACAATGGTGGGCATCTCTCAGCCCCAGAGATGCGGAGAGACATGACCAGCACAGTCTAGGCTGGTCCTACACAAAAGTAACTGGCACAAAAACAGGCTGGAGGCGTGGCTCACGTGGTAGTGAAGCTTTAGGTTCAAGTCCTACTACTAGGACACACACACACACACACACACCACCACCAACAACAAACCAAAAACTTGTGAGTGAACAAAGGGCAAATGGCATGACTTGGGCAGGCCTCATGCCTCATACCCCCTGTGCTTCCTGGGGCTCCCCCACTCCGTGTTCCCCCAGACCCACCCCCAAACCCTGCCACACAGCCTGAGGGCCAAGGTTCAAAATACCATAGCAACCACAGGACCTTTGAACAAGACCTGCACCCCAGTGCGTCCCAGCCAACACGGGACAGAGCAAGCAGAAACAGGAAAATCACTGCTGCTCTCCACGCCGCTGCACGAGATACCCAAAGGCTTGGTCCTGTGTTAAGTGCTGTGCTAGATGTTTCTGGAAGGATTTCCACTTTATTGGCGGTTGTATGGAACCCAGAGGTTGGACACTGCGGACCCTGAGCTCTTTTGTTCATGGCTACTGCTCTACTGCTTGAGCCACACCTCCTCTTGTGTTTTTTGGTGGTTCATTGGAGAGAAGAGCCTCACAGTCTTTCCTGCCCAAGCTGGCTTTGAACTACGATCCTCAGATCTCAGCCTCCTGGGTATCTGGGGTGACAGGCGGGAGCCACCAGCACCAGGGCTAGAGTGTTTTTTAATGAGAGATTTTTTTAAATGTGTTTTGTTTTTTGGTTTTTGTTCTGGTTGTGGGGCTTGAGCTCAGGGCCTGGTCACTGTCCGTTCTTTTCTTTTCTTTTTTTTTTTTTTGGGGAGTATTACATTTTACGTTCTTTTCTTTTGTATACTCCTGGGACTTGAAGGCCGGGGCCCTTGTGCTGTTCCTGAGCTTTTTCTGCTCTCCCATTGAGCCACAGCTCTATTTCCAGCTTTTGGGGGGTATATTATTGTAGATGAGAGTCTCGCGGACTTTCCTGCTCAGGCTGGCTTTGAACCGCAGTCTTGAGATCTCAGCTCCTGAGGACCCAGCCATTGTCATCCAGCATTCACATTATTATTATTATTATTTTTAATGTGTGCAGATCCTGGGGCTTGAACTCAGAGCACAGGTGCATCTCTAGCTTTGTCACTCCAGGCCTGCGCTCCACCACTTGAGCCACAGCTCACCACCGTGAAGCACGCGTGCGCGGACAGGGCCCAGGCTGCCTCTCCGTGGCCTCCACTGAGTGATGACTAGAACCCACACCTCCTCCTCCTCCTCCCGCCTCCCTCCGCAGCCCTGCCCTACCCCGGCCACAGCAAGGACACAGGACCCTTCAGGACACTGGGTCTTTATTCCAGCCCCACGGGCCGGGCTAAAGGTCAGCCGAGGCTGGGTGGGTGTGTCACAGAGGCGAGAGGGCCGGTAGCACCTTCCCACTGCACTGGCCAAAGCCCACGCGGTAGCCATCTCCCTGGCAGTGACCTAGAGCAGGGAACAGGGGACAGGACAGGGTCAGCCTCTGAGCTGGGGACTCCCAGGACCCAGCCTCCCTGCAAAGGCCAGGCAGCCCCGGGTGCACTGCAGCCCGAGCTCCGGGCCTTCCCCACAGTCAGGGTCTAGAGTTCACACTCCAGGTCTGCAGCTAACCTGAGCCAGGCGGCCTGAGCATTCAGGCCCCGGGCTGCACGGCCTCAGGGGCCCTCCAGGCCTCATCCAGGAAATGGGTCTCCTGGGGGCCCTGCTGCGTGTGCCTACCCGGCACAAAGCCACCACGTGAGCTGACCTATTCAGCTCCAGCTGAACAACAGTGCCACTAAGGAAGACAAGAGAAGCCTGCCTGCCTGCCTGTCTGTCTGTCTGTCTGTAAGGAAGGCAGGCCTGTGGGAGCAGCAGCTCTGGACAAGAGGTGGCGGACAGACGCCCGCCAGGTTCTGAGAGAGCAGCACGGAGGAGGAGAGCGGGGAAAGCTGCGACATGTGTGCCGGGTTTTGACGGGTGTGTAGGCGTTCAGTCCATGGGCACTGGGTGTAGTGAGGCTGCCCTGCAGATGGCAAAGGCCTCCCAGGAACCCGCTAAAGGGCTGGGGGTGCGCAGTGTGGATGCTTTACCAGGTCCAGGTTAAGCCCCACAGTCCCTCAGAGGTCAGCACATCCCGAGGGCCCATGGAGGCCAGAGCCTGTGAAGGCTGAGGCGCATGGAGGCCAAGGCATGTGGAAGGTGAGGAAGGTGGAGGCCACAGGGGCCAGGGTGGGTGGAGGCCGCATGACATGGCAACACCCTCAGCGGGACAAAGCCTGCATGACATGAGGCGCCACGAGACCCCTCAACCCACTGGAGGCCACCCCCAAAGCTGGGGCCCGGCGGGGAGACGCGTCTGAGGCCAGAGTCCCCACCAGAATGGGGATGGCGCGGCCCTGTGCGCGGTCAGGCCTCAGCGCTCAGGGGCCACGCTGGCTTGGGGTGCCTGGCAGCCCTGAGGTCGGCTCGGCTCCCTCAACTCAGCTCGTTCAGGGACCAGCTCCTCCCCCTGCACCGACCCCCAGCCCTCCTCCCAACGCCCACCCTAGCCAGGGCCTCCCCAGACACCCTGTGTGCATAGCCACCCTTGGACCAACTGGCTAGCGCGTGACTCAGTTTCCCCATTTTTCTGTCACTCACTTTTGGATGGCAACATATAAATAATCAATAATGAAGGAACAATCCATGGGGAGGGCTTTCTGGACACACCTGTAATCCTAGCCACACGCAGGCAGAGATCAGAACCAGCCCCCGCAGAAAAGTCCATGAAGGTCTGATCTCCAATGAACCCCCAGAAAAGGTGGACGTGGAGCTGGAGCTCAAGTGGGAGCATGCCAGCTTTGAGTGGGAGCCCCGGGACCTGAGTTCAAGCTCCACTATGGCACCAAAACCAAAACCCAAACCCATCATGGTGTGGCTCAACTGACACAAGGTTCAGTGTAGAGTGCTGAGTTTCAGAGTACTTTAGGGTACTGGGTAACCATGCTCAGTACCACAAACACAGAAAAGCCACCACAGCTGCCCCCACGGTCTTGCTGTGGGACCCCTCGGGCCCCAGCAGAAGTGGGTGTCTGGGACCTGGGCCCACCTGGCCCAGGGGCTTCCTGTCACAGGGACTCAGGGTGCAGTTCACAGACTGAACACCAGGTGGGGTGAGAGTGCCTTGCTGTGGGGCGGGGCCCAGGCCTGGCCGGAGGGCAGGTTGTTTTCTGCCACACAGCAAGAGTCCCAGAGGCACCACCAGAGCTAGGGGGACAAAATAGTTAGGAATGCTCCTGGTTCGAATCCTAGCTCTGTCCTTTTTAAAATTTTGGCTAGTACTGGGGTTTAATCTCAGGGACTGGGCGCTATCCCTTAGCTTTTTGTTTACTCAAGGATGGTGCTCTACCACTTGAACCACACCTCCACGTCTGCTTTTGGGTGGCTCATTGGAGTTAAGAGTCTCTGAGACTTTTCTTTCCCAGGCTGGGATCTCAGCCGCCTGAGTAGCTGGCATGATAGGCAAAAAGAGGAAAAATGGAGGTGTGGCTCAAGTGGTAGAACACCAACCTTGAGCAAAAAAAGCTAAAGGAGAGTGTGAGCCTCTGATTTCAAGTCCCAATACCGGTGTGCATGCACACGCATCCATGCACACACACATGCACGTGCACACACACACCCCTAGATGAATGTCATGACCGAGATGGAACCTGGGGTCCCGCTGGAAGCTCTCTGGCTCTATGGAGTGGGCTGCCACCCGCTGTGTGCCCTGTTAATAACATGCAGAGGAGAGAAGGGCCCCAAGGACGACAGAGACAGACAGACAGACACAGAGACAGAGACAGACAAAGACGGAAACAGAGACAGAGACAAAGACAGAGACAGAAAGATAGAGACAGAGACAAACACACACACATGCACACACACGCATGGGCACCCTCAGCGGCCTCACCTGTGATGATGACCTCGTCCCCATCCAGCAGGAATGTCCTGCTCTGCCCCGCGCCCAGTGTGATGGGCTTGGCGCCTCTCCACGACAGTTCCATCATGGAGCCGAAGCTCTCAGGATCCTTCCCAGGAGGAGAGAGAAGGGGTGGGCAGGTGCAGGGCCACCCACCAGAACTCGGGGCACCCTGGCCAACAGCTCACCCCATGGGGCCCAGAAGGGAGGGGCTGGGTGCACCAGATGCCCCTGAGGGCCTGGGAATCTGGGGGTCTGGGGACCTGGGAATCTGGGGGTCTGGGGACCTGGGAATCTGGAGGTCTGGGGACCTGGGAATCTGGAGGTCTGGGGACCTGGGAATCTGGGGGTCTGGGGACCTGGGAATCTGGGGGTCTGGGGACCTGGGAATCTGGGGGTCTGGGGACCTGGGAATCTGGAGGTCTGGGGACCTGGGAATCTGGGGGTCTGGAGACCTGGGAATCTGGGGGTCTGGGGACCTGGGAATCTGGGGGTCTGGGGACCTGGGAATCTGGGGGTCTGGGGACCTGGGAATCTGGGGGTCTGGGGACCTGGGAATCAGGGTCTGGGGACCTGGGAATCTGGGGGTCTGGGGACCTGGGAATCTGGGGGTCTGGGGACCTGGGAATCTGGAGGTCTGGGGACCTGGGAATCTGGGGGTCTGGGAACCTGGGAATCTGGGGGTCTGGGGACCTGGGAATCTGGGGGTCTGGGGACCTGGGAATCTGGGGGTCTGGGGACCTGGGAATCTGGAGGTCTGGGGACCTGGGAATCTGGGGGTCTGGAGACCTGGGAATCTGGGGGTCTGGGACCTGGGAATCTGGGGGTCTGGGGTTTGGGATCCTGGGGACAGCACAGGGTAGGGGGAGCAAGAAGAGAGAGAGGAGGAGAAGGAGGGGGGGTGTGGGAAAAGAGGAAGATGCAGGCCTGCGTTGGAGGTATGTGCAGCAGGGCGCAGCAGGGTGCAGCTGGGTGCGGCAGGCGTGCACAGATCCACTCACCGGCCCACTGACTGTTCCAGAAGCCAGGAGGTCCCCGGGCCGGAGATTACAGCCGTTGACGGAATGGTGCGTGAGCTGTTGTAGCATGGTCCAGTACATGTACTGGAAGCAACGGGGAGGGGGTGCAGGTATGAGCACCCACTTTTTGAGACAGCGAAGTGCAGTGAAGCTGGTGCAGGCCACCTCCCACACACCCCGGCTGCCTCCCGCTGCTTCCCAACACTAATGACACTGACGGCCGGGCGTGGTGGCTCACGCCTGCCATCCTGACTACTCAGGGGCCTGAGATCTGAGGATCAGGGTTCACAGCCAGCCTGACCAGACAAATCTGATAGACTGTGCTCTCCAACTAGTCAGCAAAAAGCTGTGGAAAGAAAGAGAAGGTGTGACTCAAGTGCTAGAGTGCCAGCCTTGAGTGAAAAAAGCTGAGGGAGTGTGCCAGGCCCTGAGTTCAAACTGCAGAACTGACACACAAAGAAGGGAGGGAGGGGGGGAGGGAGGGAGGGGGGAGGGAGGGAGGGAGGGTGGGGGGAGGGAGGAAATGAGGGAGGGAGGGAGGACGGACAAACGTCTTTCTTGTGCACCCACCACCATCTCCTGCATGAGCCCCGTGGCGCCCTGGCAGCCTGGTGCTCCCCTCCAGCCTCCCAGAGCCACCTCCCTGCAGGGCTCCGCACCAGCCCTGACCCCACGTGCGCACAGCCACCCCTGCCTGGCCAGCCCCCCAGCCCCTAAGCTGCACCCCTTACAGCCCTCACTTCTTGGGCTTCTGGAACACTCAGTGGGCCAGTGAGTGGATCTGTGCACGCCTGCCACACCCCACTGCATATACACTCCAACCCAGGCCCATATCTTCCTCTTCTCCCATGCCCCCTTCTTCCTTCTCCCCGCCCCATACTGTCCCCAGGATCCCAAACCCCAGGCCCCAGACCCCCAGATTCCCAGGTCCCCAGACCCCCAGAAAGCATGCTTTCACCACGTCGTATTCCACTGTTTCCTGTCTGGGGCCATCCTAGAGTTATGATGGACATGCTAATATTCATCTTTTGGTGCACAAATGTGCACCGGTGCCTGACTGTTTGCTGGCCTCTTGATGGCTTGTTTCCTCTTGCCTCCTTTCTAATATAGCACTGTAGCAAGAAGAAATATGAGGAGCCGGGCTCTGGCTCAAAGTTGATACAGTGGAATACTACATGGTGATGAAAAATATAAGCTGTCCCTATAATCTGTTCTGAACAATGGCTATGAAGATACATCTAGATACACATCTAGATACATAGATGGAGGGATGGATAGATAGATAGATGTGTATATATGGGCATGTGGGGATGTTGCTTACTGAAAATTCCTTGGGCTGCATACTCACAAAGGACATGTTTGTATCTAGGTGGTTTAAGCTTCAGTTGAAATTTTACTTAGGGGCCAGGCATAGTGCTGCAAACCTGTAATCCCAGCTATCCAGGAGACACAGGTAAGAGGATTGTGGCCATAGAACAGCTTGAGCAAGAGCACAAGACCTATCTGAGTGCTTCTTCCTAAGAAGAATCTGGGTTCAATGCCCAGGACTGAGGGAGAGAGAGAGAGAGAGAGAGAGAGAGAGAGAGAGAGAGAGAGAGAGAGACCTAAAAAAGGATTAAGTTGGCCAAACAAGGTGGCTCACACCTATTATCTCAGTTACTTGGGAGGTTAAGATCAAGAGGACGGCAGTTGGAAGCCAGTATCAAAGAAGTCATTAAGAGGTCCCTCCCCATCTCAACAAACAAGCCCGCGGCAGTCGTTTATGCCTGTAGTTTAAGCCACGCAAGAAACCTTAGGCAGGAAGAACATGGTCTCAGGCCAACCCCAGCAAAAATGTCTAAAAAAACCAGTCTCACATCCCAAAATATCACAGATCTCTCTCCCTTCCCGCCAGGGAGGAAAGTCTCCTTCTCCTGACTCCTAAGAAGCGGTGTGGGCTTCAAAGCTTGCCTTAAAATTGGACGTGCAGATGGTGGCGGCCTGCTGCATGCCTTCACCTGCCAACACAGAGAAGACGCCGTCACCAAGGCCTGCAGGCACAGGGGCTCAGGGCCGGCACCCTGCCACTTGAGCCACTACTCCACTTCCGGCTTTTTGCTGGTCCCTCGGGGACTTTCCTGCCCAACCTGGCTTTGAACCGTGATCCTCCAATCTCTGTCCCCTGAGAAGCTGGGATGGCAGGCATGAGCCACCGCGCCCGGCTAACATGCGGACCTGAGTGCGTGCTCTCACACACATGATCAGAGGATCACACGACCCACCCACGATCAGAGGATCACACGGTCCACCCACGATCAGAGGATCACACGGTCCACCCACGATCAGAGGATCACACGACCCACCCACGATCAGAGGATCACACGACCCACCCACGATCAGAGGATCACACGACCCACCCACGATCAGAGGATCACACGGTCCACCCGTGATCAGAGGATCACACGGTCCACCCACGATCAGAGGATCACACGGTCCACCCACGATCAGAGGATCACACGGCCCACCCACGATCAGAGGATCACACGACCCACCCACGATCAGAGGATCACACGATCCACCCACGATCAGAGGATCACACGGTCCACCCACGATCAGAGGATCACACGGTCCACCCACGATCAGAGGATCACACGGTCCACCCACGATCAGAGGATCACACGGTCCACCCACGATCAGAGGATCACACGACCCACCCATGATCAGAGGATCACATGACCCACCCACGATCAGAGGATCACACGGTCCACCCACGATCAGAGGATCACACGACCCACCCATGATCAGAGGATCACACGGTCCACCCACGATCAGAGGATCACACGGTCCACCCGAGCGGGAAAGGCCGCGATGCTCTTACCCGCAATGAACCAGCAAAGCCAGGAGCGGGGCTGTGGCTCAGGTGGTAGAGCTCCAGCCTTGAGCCAGGAAGCCCAAGCCAGAGCATCAAACACTGAGCTCAAACAAAACGCAAGACAGGCCCTGGACAGAACACCGGCCGCCGCGGGCCAGGAGGCAGGGCGCCGGAGACCGGGCGTGGGAACCGGGCAGGCCCGCCCCCGCCCCGCCCCGCGCCCGCCCCGCGCCCGCCCGCCCCACGCCCGCCCGCCCCACGCCCGCCCGCCCCGTGCCCAGCCCGCCCCGCGCCCGCCCGCCCCGCGCCCGCCCGCCCCGTGCCCGCCCCGCGCCCGCCCCGCGCCCGCCCTCCCTGTGCCCAGCCCGCCCCGCGCCCGCCCCGCGCCCGCCCGCCCCGTGCCCAGCCCGCCCCGCGCCCGCCCGCCCCGCGCCCGCGCCCGCCCCGCGCCCGCGCCCAGCCCGCCCCGCGCCCGCCCGCCCCCGCGCCCAGCCCGCCCCGCGCCCGCCCGCCCCGTGCCCAGCCCGCCCCGCGCCCGCCCGCCCCGCGCCCGCCCCCCGCCCCCCCCCCCCGGCCCTGCGCCCGCCCGCCCCGCGCCCACCCCCCCACCCCCCCCCCCCCGGCCCTGCGCCTGCCCGCAGCCGCGCGTGCGCACCACATACCTTTCAGGGCGACCGAGAGCCGGATGTCGAAGGAATACGGCCGGTCATGGCAGAGGTAGGGCAGGGGCTGGGGGGCCTGGGGAAGGAGCAGCCCCGTCACTGCAGGCCGCCCACCCGGCGGGAACGCGGGGCCTCCAGCGCGCGTGCGCGCTGCCCCGCCCGGGCTGCTCAGAACCGCGATCCTCCCCGTTTCAGCCCCGGAGCCGCTGAGACGATCATCTACCATCGCGAGCCCGCGCGGCCTCACGCAGGGGCGCAGGGCCTGACGCGGCCCAGGCCTGGGGTCGCAGCAGCTCCCCCTCCATCCCGCGGAGGGCAGAGGGAGTATTTACGGGCGCCATTTGTGGTCATTAAGTGATAGCTTGGGATCCCCGGGCCCTCCTAGATATGCACCTCCATAGAGCTCCGGCCAGCGCCCCCAGGGTCTCGATTTGGGGTATGTGCTGGGCGGGCCCTGGGCCTGGAGATGGCAGGGTTCCAGTATGGGGGCTCACACTTGTAATCTCAGCAACTCAGGAGGCTAAGATCTGAGGAGCAAGGTTCAAAGCCAGCCCGGGCAGAAAAGGCCGTGACACTCTTTTTTTTGGGGGGGACGGAGGGGGGGGGGGGGTCCAGTCGTGGGGCCTGAACTCTGGGCCTGGGCGCTGTCCCTCAGCTCTTCAGCTCAAGGCTAGCGCTCTACCACTTGAGCCACAGCACCTCTTCTGGCTTTTTTCTTTTTGCTTATGTGGTGCTGAGGAATCGAACCCAGGGCCTCAGGCATGCAAGGCAAGCGCTCTACCACTGAGCCACCTTCCCAGCCCCAAGGCCGTGAGACTCTTATCTCCAATGAACCACCAGAAAACCGAAAGTGGTGCTGTGGCTCAAGTGGTAGAGCGCCAGCCTTGAGCTGAGGGACAGTGCCCAGGCCCAGAGTTCAAGCCCCAGGACCAGCACAGACCAAAACCAAGGCATGTGTGCTTACCTGCTCAGGGTTGGGCAGGACGAAGGGCATGAGGGCCTCCATGGGGACCACCCATGGGGAGATGGTGGTCCCAAAGCTCTTCCCGAGGAATGGGCCCAGTGGGACATACTCCCACTGCTGGATGTCCCGAGCTAGAAGGAGAAGGGGGGGGAGGGGTGCTTGCCCAGCCCACCCTGCTTGTCCCAACCTTCCCTCTGCCCTCACCAGAACCTGGCACACTAGCCCTGTCCAGGCTGCCCCAGAACCAGGGGAGAAATCACCCAGTACCAAAGAGGAGAGGCCCTTGACGCCATGGTGCCAGGTCATAATAGAAAGATGGACAAGCTGGTGGCACACCCCTGTCATCCCAGCTACTCAGGAGGCTGAGATCTGAGGATCGTGGTTCAAAGCCAGCCTGGGCAGGAAAGTCATGAGACTCTTATCTTAATTAGAGAATTCACTATCAAAAAGCTAGAAGTGGAACTGTGGCCCAAGTGGTAACGCTCTAGCCTTGAGCACACAAAGCTCAGGGACAGTGCCCAAGCCTCCAGTTCAAGACCCAGAACCAGCACACAAAAAAAGGACAGACAAAGGATGGTCACAATGATTCAGATGAAGAGGAGAGACACCCCGAAGCCCACCAGATCCCTAGGACTGATAGCACACGTGGTGTGTTCACCTCAGGGCCCGGCACTTAATATGTGCTCAGTGAACACCAGTGAATGGAGTCAGCAGACCCAGACAGTCTGGTGAAGTGGCCCGGTCCTCAGAAACAGAAACCAGTCTGCCACCCACATTCCTGGACTGCTGTACCCCCTGCCACCATTACCACTCCAGTCGTTCATGAGAACCATCCCGAAGATGTGCTCATGGGCCTTGGAGATGGGGATCGGCTCCCCAAACCGGTTCCCAGGACCTACAAAGAAGGCCTAACCAGAGCGGGGAGGGGAGGAATGAGGGTTAGTGTCTGGGACTGACCTGCACAGCCCCAGGACCTTTGTCACCTGGAAACCGAAGGTCACAGAAATTTCCCAGCCTTGCCAGGGGCCAGGACTGCCATTGAGCCTGGACTGAACCAATGGCAACTCCGAGTCATGAACTGTAGCCACGCAGCCACACGGCCACCCCAGGAAAGCGAGGCCCAGCTGCCTGGGTGGCCTGCTGTTCTTCCCTTCCGCTCACAGCCAGGCATGGTGACCCATGCCTGGAATCCTAACTATTCAGAAGCCTGAGATCTGAGGATCATGGTTCAAAGCCAGCCCAGGTAGAAAAGTCCATGAGATTTTTATTTCCAATTAACTACCAAAAAAGTCAGAAGTGGAGCTGTGGCTCAAGTGGTAGAGCACTAGCCTTAAACAAAAATGTTCAGGGACAGTATGCAGGCCCTGAGTTCAAACCCCTGGATTGGCACCAAAAACGAAGAAGAAGAGGAGGAGGAGGAGGAGGAGGAGGAAGAAGAGGAAGAAAAAAAAATAAGAACATAAATGAGTAACTATTGAACTGTTACTCTATGGAGAAAGAAATACAGGGTTAGATTTCCATAAGTCTCTGGTCACACCCCTTCCCTTCCCTTCCCTCTCCTCCCCTCCCCTCCTCTTCCCTCCCCTGCCCTCTCCTCCCCTTCCCTCCCCTCCCCTCCTCTCCCCTCCCCTGCCCTCTCCTCCCCTTCCCTCCCCTCCCCTCCTCTTCCCTCCCCTGCCCTCTCCTCCCCTCCCCTCCCCTCCCCTCCTCTCCCCTCCCCTCCCGTTCCCTTCTTCATGCTCCTGTATATCCAGAACTAATGCAACTCCCCACACAGCTCACCATTTCCAACTCGATATCCAGGAGTTTAGAGGCGCCGTATACAGGAGGCTTGGCTGAAATGACACGAACACAAGGGGGTGCCGTGAGTGCCAGGCTGCACGGCTACCAGCAGCCGAGCTGGGCAGGGCCAGGTATTGGAAATCACTTACAATTGTCAGGTCTCATCTGCCCCGTGGGCCTTCGGATTGGGGTGCCGGACACCACCACGGAGGAGGCCCGGCCATGGTAGCCAACAGGCAAGTGCAGCCTGGTTCAGACACAAGCAAGGGAAAGGGGCATGGACACTGTTAAAATACTGCAAAGTAAACCGGAATGACACAGGCCCACACCTGTGAACCTGACTACTAGAGAGGCAGGGATTGAGAGGACTGCCATTGGAGGCCAGCCTGAGCAAAATGCCCATGAAACCTTATCTTAGGCGTAAGAGAAAAAGGAAAGGAAGAAAGAAGCCTGGCATAGTAGTACAGGGTAGAAGTATCTGAGGTCCAGGCCAGCCTGGACAAAAAAGCTCCTGAGAGGCTGTGTCAAACCAACAGCCATGCATGCCGGGATGTGACCACCACACGTCCTGTGGTGGGAGATTTGAGCCACCACAGGACGTGGCTCCTCTCTGTCATCCCAGCTACCCAGGAAGCTGAAAGCTGAGGACCGTGGTTCAAAGCCAGCCCAGTTAGGAAAGCACGTGAGACTCTGATCTCCAATGAACCACCAGGAAACCGGAAGTGGCGCATGACTCAAAGTGGTAGAGCATTAGCCTTGAGTGAAAGAGCTCAGGAACAGCGCCTGAGCCCTGACTTAAAGCCCCACAATCAATTAAAAACAAAAACAAATTCAGTGCACCTATGGATCATGCCTAGAACCCCAACTATACAAAAAGCTGAGATCTGAAGATTTCAGGTTCAAAAGCACCCCCAACAGAAAAGTCTGAGATGCTTGTCATTGATTAACCAGTACAGGGTTTGACCAAGCAAAAGTGCAAGGCTTTGCGTTCAAGACCTTGTTCTGACATCTGTGTGCGCACACACACACATTCACATATATTCATATAAATATTCACACATATCCACATATATATGTATATTCCTAATGCCTATAGAAAAAAAGTTATACAATGGAACATAGCCTGAAGAAAGGAAAAATTCTGATGCAGGCTACAGTATAAATAAGTCTGGACGACACTGTATTAAGTGAAATAATCAAATCACACACAAAAATAGGAAGCCAATATGGTGACACACACTTGTAATCCCAGCATTTGTAAGGCAAGAACAAGAGGATCGGAGGGCCCAGGCTGGCTTGGACTGGAGAGACCTACTGAGACCTTAATGAAAGCTGGGCTAGGTGCTCACGCCTATAATCCCAGCTATTCAGGAAGCGGGAGTCTGGGGATCGTGGTTCAGACAGCCAACTTGTGAGACTCTGATCTCCAATGAACCACCAAGAAAGGTAGAAGGAGAGCTGTGGTTCAAGAGGTAGAGTACCAGCCTCGATTGGAAAAGCCAAGGGAGAGTGCAAGGCCGTGAGTTCAAGCCCCACTATTGGCACCACAAAAAAAAAAACCAAACCTGCTGAACTTGACAGACAGACCAAGCGCCCACCCTGAGCCGCCACCGGACGCACCAGTTGGGCATGAGGGCGTTGTCCTTTCCCCGGAAGATGATACCGATGTTGGTGGCGTGTTGCCGGAAGGAATAGAAATCCGTGTAGTCTCCTAAAAAAGGACCAAGCCCAGCCCATCAGGGATGCCCACAGTGGAGAGGCCCGGATGAGGCCGGGAGCACACACTCCAGCGCCTCATTCAAGACCCATTTCTGGCCAGGCATGGTAGCTCATGCCTGTAGTCCCAGTCATTCTTAGAACCTTTGCCCTGAGAAACAAATTAAAAAGTAGGAAAACAGTAGAATCTGAATATGGAGTAGCTGATAGCCTTCCACGTCTGTTTTTGGCCAGTACTGAGGCTGGACCTCATGTCCCTTAGTGTGTCTAATTCAAAGCTGAAGCTCTACCACTTGAGCCACAGCTCCACTTACAGCTTTTTTTTTTTTGGTGGTCCACTGGAGATAAGAATCTCATGGGCTTTTCTGCCCTGGCTGGCTTCAAACCTTGATCCTCACATCTCAATCTGCTATGTAGCTAGGATTACAGGTAAGTCTAACACCAACACCAACACTTGGTGGTGGTGTCTTTTTTGTTTTGTTTTTTGGTACTGGTATGGAGACTTGAACTTGGGGCCCTGGTGCTGTCCCTGAGCTTTTTCACTCAAAGCTGGCACTCTACCACTTGAGTCCTGGCTCTACTGAGTTTTGCTGGTTCACTGGAGTTAAGAGTCTCATGGGCCTTCTTGCCCAGGCTGGCTTTGAACTGCAATCCTCACACCGCAGCTTCTAGAGTGGCTGGGATGATCAGCGTGCCCACCAGTGCTTGGCCCACTCCCCTTAGGGAGTTTCTGAGCTTCCCAAGTCTAACACTTAAGTTTTCTTTTGTTTGTGATTTTTTGGGGGGGGGGGAGTGGGGGAGGATTTGAACTGGGATCTGTGTTTATCCAATGAAGTGCTCTCTGCTTCTACTTCTGGGCCTGGATGCTATCCCTCAGCTCTTCAGTTCAAGGCAAGTGCTCTACCACTTGAGCCACAGCACCACTTTCGGTTTTCTGAGTGGTTTATTGGAGATAAGAGTCTCACAGACTTTCCTGCTCGGGCTGGCTTTGAACTGTGATCCTCAGATCTCAGCCTCCTCAGTAGCTAGGATTACAAGTGTGAGCCACTGGCTTCTATTTCTTGTACCACACACACTGCTTGTGACCCCACACAGGGACACACACACACACACACACACACACACCACCTCAGGAGCCACACATTTGCTTAGGCTGTGTCTGCAATCTGGACCACTTCTTTCCCCCTCACCAGTGGGTTTCAATTCCAGCACCGCCTTACTTTCTCTCACTGACTTCTTCCTTCCTTGCTATCCCCTTATCTGCCTCCTCCCGGGTGAGCTTTCCTTCCCGTGGGCCTTCCAGTTTTGGTAAGATCACAACCACTTCATTCCACTAGACTCCCTCTCAGGACCACAACAAGGCCTTGCTTGAACAGGAACACACTTGGCGTCTAATAATTGGTGAACTGAACGGGGAGGTTGTGGGCTACAGATGCCCTCACCCACTGAGGGGATGAATAACTAAAATCTGAGGGGATGAATGACTAAAATCTGCAGGGAAACCCACTTGGGATCACTGGCTTGTTGGGTGTCCCAAATCTCACATAAAAAAAAAAAAGAAGGAAGAAATCCAGGAGGTGGCACTGTGGCTCCAAGTGGTAGAGCACTAGCCTTGAGCAGGAAAGCTTAGGGTCAGTGCCCAGGCCCTGAGTTCAAGTCCCATGGCCAAAAATAACTACAAAAAAAAGGAAATACAAAACAACCCGGTACTGGTGGCTCACGCTTGTAAGCCCAGTTACTCAGGAGGCTGAGGTCTGAGAACCACAGTTCAAAGCCAGCGTGGACAGAAATATCTGCAAGACTCTTATCTCCAGTGAACCAGCAAAAACTTCAGAAGTGGAGCTGTGGCTGGAGTGGCAGAGCACCAGCCTTGAGTGAAAGCTCAGGGACAGGACCCAGACCCTGAGTTCAAGTCTCAGGACCAGAACCAAAAGGGAAAAAAAGCCATGTGCTGGTGACTCTCACCTGAATCCCAGCTACTCATCAGACTGAGATGTAAGGATTATGGTGTGAGGCCAGTCTAGGCAGGAAAGCCCACGCGACTGTTATCTCCAAGCACCAAAAAACTAGACATGGAATTGTGGCTCAAGTGGCAAAACACCAACTTTGAGTGAAAAAGCCAAGTGAGCACACAGTCTCTGGGTTCAAACCCCAGTAATGGGCAAACAAAATGGTGGCTCTGATGACCACTTGGAGCACTTGCCCCACAGCCTTCTGGGAAGAGGGAGGGCACTGACGTACATGGGTCACATGACTGACCAGGACCCCGAGGGACCCGGAGCTCCCAGCCAGACCCAACGGCCACAAGTGGGCTGAGACCCCACTCACAGCCGAAGCCCCGCCTGCTTTCCTCTGGCCTGGCCACGGGGAAATAAGCACTCGCCAGATTCTGTCCACATTGACTTAGCAACAACATCAGCACTCACCGATGGTGGCTGGAAGGTGCATGGTGGCAGAGGTCTGGGAGACGAAGGCCCTGAAATGCAGAACCAGGGGCTTCAAGGTCAAGGTCAAGGTCAGGAGCATGGTACACAGAAGCCCCACTCCGGCTAAGACCTGCAGACTCAGCCCAGAATTGCGCTCGTCCTCTGTGATGGTCTGGAAAATCACACCCACGATGCCACACACAGCTGACTGTCCCTTCTCTCTCAAACCTCCTACTCTGAAAAACAGGGCTGGGGGACGGGATCCTCTATGCCAGAAAACAGAGCAGGGGCCAGGCATGGTGGCGCACGCCTGTCATCCCAGCTACTCAGGAGGCTGAGATCGAGGATCGCAGTTCAAAGCCAGCCTGGGCAGGAAAGTCTGTGAGACTCTTTATCTCCAATGAACCAGCAGAAAACCGGAAGTGGAGCTGTGGCTCAAGTAGTAGAGTGCCAGACATGAGTGAAAAAGCTCAGGGACAGGGCTGGGAAGGTGGCTCAGTGGTAGAGCGTTTGCCTTGCATGCATGAGGCCCTGGGTTCGATTCCTCAGCACCACATAAGCAGAAGAAGCCAGAAGTGACTCTGTGGCTCACATGGTAGAGTGCTAGCCTTGAACTGAAGAGCTGAGGGACAGCACCCAGGCTGAGAGTTCAGGCCCCATGAGCAACCAAAACAAAACAAAACAAAAAAAAGCTCAGGGACAGCACCTAGGACCTGAGTTCAAGTCCTGAGAGAAAAAAAGAAGGGAAGGAGCAGAGGAAGGGAGCAGAGAAGGTGTGGCGGGACTGGATGGGGCCAGAGCAGGGGCTAGCTTGGCTGATCGGTAATCCCAGGGCTGCCCACATGTCCCAGAGAGGGACCGGATGGTGTTGGGCTGGGTTCACCAGGCCCAGCCACAGGCCAGGTCTTCATGGTCTGCCACCCAGCCCATGGCCCTCACCGCTTCCGGAGCTCAGTGTCATCTCTGAGCCTGGCTTGGCTGGCAGACAGCAAGTCCTGCAGGTATGCCCTCGCCTCCTTCCAGGCAGCCGGGCCCAAGCCCATGAAGCTGTTGAGAGTTGACTAGGACGAGAAGAGGTCACAGTGTGGGAAAGATCTAGAGAAGCACACAACTACCACCACCGCCTTCCCAGTGAGGGCCAGCCACTCCATAAGAAGGTTCTACTCCTCAATGCTCTTGGAAGCTGGGTGCAGTGGCTCACACCTGTAATCCCAGCTACTCAGGAGGCTGAGGTTTGAGGACTGCAGTTCAAAGCCAAGAAAGTTTGGGAAGCTCTTATGTCCAATTAACCACCAAAAAGCCAACAGTAGAGCTGTGGATCAAGTGGTAGAGCACTAGCCTTGAACAAAAGAAGCTCAGACATAGCAACCAGGCCCTGAGTTCAAGTCTCAGGACCGGCAAAAAAAAAAAAAAAAAGGCATCTGGTGCTGAGAAGATGTCGCCTGCCAGTGGGTCTGTCTCAGAAGGGCTCCCACCTGCGCTGGCACAGCCGGTCATGCGGGACAGCGTCTCCCTCACGCACAGAGGCGCTGAGCAAGAGCAGATGGCATTTCTGGGAGGGGGCACTGCGGGGGGGGGGGGCATGGCGCCCGTCCTACCTCTTGGAAGACGTGCTGGTGCTGGCAGAGGACAGGTCCAGTGAAGAGGTGTGCAATGGCACTGAGGTCCAAGATCTGATCCCCGATAGCCACTCCAATCCGGGGTTTCAGCTAGGAGGAAGACATGATGGTCAGCCAAGAACTGGTGGCTTACCTCTGCAATCCTAGATACTCAAGAGGTGGAGATCTGAGGATCAAAGTTCAAAGTCAGCCCAGAAGGGAAGTTTGTGAGACTCTCATTTCTAATTAACCAGCAAAAGGCTGCATGTATGTGGTTGGGCGCCAATGGCTCACACCTAAGGAAGCTGAGATTTGAGGATCTTGGTTCGGAACCAGCCCAGGCAGGAAAGTTTGAGAGACTCTTATCTCCAATTAACTACTCAGAAAAAGCTGGAAGTGGGGCTGGGAAGGTGGCTCAGTGGCAGAGCGCTTGCCTTGCATGCCTGAGGCCCTGGGTTCGATTCCTCAGCACCACATAAGCAAAAAGAAAAAAGCCGGAAGTGGCGCTGTGGCTCAAGTGGTAGAGCGCTAGCCTTGAGCTGAAGAGCTGAGGAACAGCACCCAGGCCCAGAGTTCAGGCCCCACAACCGGATCCAAAAACAAAAAAAAGAAAAAGCTGGAAGTGGACTGTGGCTCAAGTGGTAGAATGCTAGCCTTGAACAAAAGAGCATAGGGACAGCACCTAGACCTTGAGTTCAAGCCCCAGGACCGACACATAAACACACACACACACACACAGCTGCAAGTGGAGAAGTACAAGTGTTAAAGAGCCAGCCTCGAGAGAAAAGCTATGGGAGAGCGCCCAGGCCCTGAGTTCAAGCCCCAGTACTGGGCACATATTCACATACACACACACAAAAAAGACATGTGCTTAGCTCAGGGAAAAGCCACGGTGAGCCTGGCTCATGTGGTAGAAAGCTGATCTAACGCCCCACAGGCACTCTGCTACATGGGCTTCCTGGAGAGGGGTGCACTAGGTAGCATGGAGTATGGCTCCTGTCTCTACATCCATGAGAGAAGATAAAGAGATTCTGTGTTTCCTCAAAGGGAAATAAATAGCCCTGGGCTGTGGAAAGAGCAGGCAGCCCGGTCCAAGCCTTGTGTCCAAGTAAATTGTCTCAACCAGCCAACACTGGTGACTTACACCTGTAATCCCAGCTACTCAGAAGGCTGAAAACTGAGAACTGCAGTTCAAAGCCAGCCTCGGGGGCTAGGAAGGTAGCTCAGTGGTAGAGCGCTTGCCTTGCATGCATGAGGCCCTGGGTTCAATTCCTCAGCACCACATAAGCAGAAAAAGCCAGAAGTGGTGCTGTGGCTCAAGTGGTAGAGTGCTCGCCTTGAGCTGAAGGGCTGAGGGACAGCGCCCAGGCCCAGAGTTTAAACCCCATGACCAACCAAAAAAAAAACCCAGCCAGGTCAGGAAAGTCCCTGAGACTCTTATCTCCAACTCAGCAGCAAAAAAGTCAGAAGTTGTGGCTCATGTGTCACAGCACCAGCCTTGAAAACCAAGAGGCCCTGAGTTCTAATCCCCAAGTTCCAACTTCTGTGCTATTGCACAGACGCCTGCACTAACCCCGTTCCCCTCGGGCAGCCTAAGCCTTCTCTGGGACCAGGCATTTGGGCTACAGGTCATGGAGACCTCCATACACAGTGCTCAGGGCTGGAAGCTGAGGCTCCAGTGGGAAAGCTCAGGTTGTAGGAGCGGCTGCACCCCAGAACTTGAGGAGGAAAATTCCTTTTTAGGTTGGTGCTGGTATTGGAATTTGAACTCAGGGCCTTGTACTCTGGCTTGGCTTTTTTACTTGAGGCTGGTGTTCTACCATATGAGACACACCTCATGTCTGGCTTTTTGCTAGCTCATTGGAAATAAGAGTTTCCCAAGACCTTTCTGTCCTTGCTGTCTTTAAACCAAGACCCTCAGCTCTCAGTCTCCTGAGTAGCTAGAATGACAGGAGCTTCCGGCACCCAGCTTAGTCCCAGCCCTTGGGCCCTAGCGACCTGGAAAAGCAATTGTGCCAGTGCACTGCTCTAGGTGGAACATGGCAGGGGAGGGGGGCGGAAGGGTGATTCTCTCCCATGCTGTTTGGGACAGGAACTCCAAGCAGTGCTGTCACACCCCAACCTCCCATCCCTACGAGGCCCCAGCCCTCTTGGCCTCAGTTTCCCCCTGGATCTTCAGACAGCAACTGGAGAAAGGCACTCCCTTTGTCTACCGGGACACACTGCCTCTGTTCCCCAGCATCTGGTCGCATGGGACACGGAACTGTCCTGCCACAGGTGAGTGTGCAGAGCTCTGGAAGCTGACACACATGTGTGGGCACAAGCACACACGTCCACCCAGAGCTCATGACTTACCAGGCTGAGATCTGAGAACTGAGGTTCAAAGTCAGCCTGGGCAGGAAAGGCCATGAGACTCCTATCTCCAAAAGCCAGAAGTAGAGCTGTGGTTTAAGTGGAAGAGCACTAGCGGTCAGCAAAAGAGCTCAGGGACAGTGCCCAGCCCTGAGTGCAAGCCCTAGAACCAGCATTCAAAACATAAATAACAAAAATAAAACAAAAATAGAACAGATTAATCCTAGCTACTCAGCATGGAGAGGAAAGTCCATGAGACTCTGATCTCCAATTCAACACCAAAAAGCCAGAAGTAAAGCTGTGGCTACACTGCAGTTTCTACCAGGGTGAAGCGTTTGTGAGCGATCCATGCGTGGAGGGACCCGCCATGGGGGACAGTGGGTCAGCCATTCATTCCCCAGCTGCCACCACCACAATGCCTGGGAGATTCAGTGGAGATCAGCATAGTTTGAATGCTCTGAACTTTCTGGATGGAAAGCCAAAAAGGCTAACTCTCCATCTGGGCACTCTTTCTCAGAGCCCGGGGGGGAGGAGGGGCTTGCCCACCAGAAGTCCCTAGCAGCTACCTGGAACATTCTAGCAATAAAGGAGCAGGGCAGTGTCTGGGAACCTCTGGCCACACACACAAGAGGGACCTGAATTCCAGATTTTCCTGGCGCTCACAAATGCCTGTCCAGTCCTCTCGACCCTCAGGTCAGGTGAGGGCCTACCTGTCCTATCTGCTGAGGGCCAAGGGTCAGAGGTCGCAGGGTCAGAGGGTGGTTCTGCCTGTGGAGCATGGTTGGCTGGCACAGTTAAGGTTTAACAGGCAGTGTTTGTGGAGGGGGCTGCTGTGGCTGTGACCCACACCTGGGTCAAGGCCTCTGGTTGTGCAATCAAAGCATTGACCGTGGGCAAGACCACGCAAGGCCAGGCCATCTGGGTACCAGGGAAAGGCCAGGGGGAAAGGGCTCCCTTTCCAGAAAGGGCCATCTGCCTGCCCCCCCCCCCCCCCACTCCAGGAAGCAGTTCTTTTAACATCTACTCCACCACGGAGAATACCCCAGCCCTAGCAGACATCTCCCCCATAGTTCTGGGTGCCATGATTTAGAATTGGAGTTTATCTATAGGTGGGAGAGGAACACACATGCGCACATGCATGCACATACACACCTGCATGCTCGCTCTCTCTCTCTCTCTCTCTCTCTCTCTCTCTCTCTCGGAATCTGCTTGTCCCCCATTCCTCTCCCCTTGGCCCTGATTTCCTGCTCTTTCTGATCAGACGCTGCCCGTCCTGTCCAGGCCTCTTTCTGGACTGGAGGAACCTTAGGTGCCGGGCAGGGCCGGGGTCAGCGAGGACACGGAGGCTCCTCAGCCCGCACCGCCGGGCAACCACAGAACCAGAGCAACGCCGGTGCGTTGCTCCCGCCTGCCGGCCCAGCCACGCCGGAGGCCGAGGTCCGAGGCCCGCGGTTTGAGGCCAGCCCGGGCAGGAAAGCCCGCGAGGCTCTCATCTCCACTGAACCAGTAAAAAGCTGGAAGTAGTGCTGTGACTCAGGTGGTAGATCGCCAGCCTTGAGCAAGAGAGCTCGGGGGCAGCGCCAGGTTCTGAGTTCAAGCCCCAGGATCAAATAAATAAACAACGTGGGGATTAAATGGAACTTTCCAGGTTCTGGAGTTAGGGATTGCACGCGCTGGCCGGGCCGGGGAGGGGTCCTGGGAACGGGCGGCCGGCGGTCTCGCACCCTCCGGCAGCACCGCGGCCCGCCCCGGCCCCCCACGGTCCCCGCCCGCTCACCCGGCCCGCGGTGGAGAAGACGCCATAGGGCAAGTTCTGGATCGGGAAGTCCGAGTCCGCGGGCACCGGCACGAAGGACATGGCAGCAGGCACCCGCAGCGCGGCCGAGGGCGACGGCGACTGGACGGGGCCCCAGGGTCCGGCCGCGCCCGGGTTCGCGCCCGTCCCCCTTCTTCCCAACCCTCCGTTCGCGCCACTCCGCCCAGCGCTCCAGCGGCGTCCTGGGCAGCCGCCCGCAGACCCGGCAGCGGCAGGCTCCGCCCCGCGGAGACCCCCGGAGCGCCCCGCCCAGGCCACGCCCCCACCCCATAATCATACCTAGACCCCGCCCCTTCGCGTGTCCACCTCCGCCCACACCGCAGCCCGCCCCTGTTTCTCATTTCCATAATCTCGCTTTTATCACACCACTCCCATTCCACAGCCCAAGAAACCACTTTCTGGCCACGCCCATATGAGGAGCCCCGCCCCGCTCGCAGGGGGCTATGTGCGAGCTCCGCTGCCGTGGGGAAACCACAGCGCCGCCTCCAGCTGCGCTGGCGCCGGCCAGGGCGGGGGCGGGGCCGGGGGCGGGGCCGGGGGCGGGGCCGGGGCCTGGGGCGGGGCCTGGGGCGGGGCGGGGGCGGGGACCCTTGCAAGCGTCTTGAGTGAACAACTCCGTTTGCCACACAGTCCCAGTATGTGGAGAAGGGCTATCAGGCCTGCTTATTCCCCAGTCCAACAGTCGTGTCTGTCTCAGCTCTCTGCTCTCAAAGATTGGTTAACTGTTAATTGCAGGGCGTTTGGAAGTGTGTGTGTGTGTGTGTGTGTGTGTGTGGCGTGCGTGCACGTTGAAGAGAGATGAAAAAGAAAGTAAAGAGAGCTTAAAAGGTCAGCTGCCAGGCTGGGAAGGTGGCTCAGTGGTAGAGCGCTCGCCTCGCATGCGTGAGGCCCTGGGTTCGATTCCTCAGCACCACATACACAAGTGGCGCTGAGGCTCAAGTGGTAGAGCACTCTCCTTGAGCTGAAGAGCTGAGGGACAGCGCCCAGGCCCAGAGTTCAAGCTCTACGGGGGGGGGGGGGGGGGGGGGGGAGGGAGGGAGGGAGGGGTGGTCAGCTGCGGGTGGCTCACACCTGTCATCCCAGCTGAGACAGGAGGTGCTGGCAGGTCCAGGCAGACAGACTTGGAGACCCTGATTTCCAGTTAACCACCAAGAAGCCAGAAAAGGAGCTGCAGCTCAAATGGAAGAACTCCAGCCTTGAGCAAAGAAGCCAACTGTCACAAAACAAAGAGAAAGGAGAGGAGGAGAAAAGGCAAAGGGCAAAAGAAGAAAAAAAAAGTTCTGTAAAAAAGAAAAAAAATTAACCCTCGTTTACAATGATTGGTGCTTACAGCTAACTGGACTTGAATCCACTGACTAGAATTAGACAAGTGCTTAATTTGGGGCAAGTGAAATTATGTTTCCTCATCTCAGAAATAAAGACAATCAAATAACTCCAACTAGAATTCCAACCTTGGCCAAACAATGCCGCCTCACAGGAAGTGACCAGTTCCTTTTTTTTAAACCAGGGATATCCAGCCAAAGCCAGCCATTGCTTTACTTCTAGGTTTTGCTTTTTGTGTGTGTGCTGGTCCTGGGGCTTGAACTCAGGATTTGGGTGCTATCCCTGAGCTTTACTCAAAGCTATAGGGATCTACCACTTGAGCTACAGCCCGCTTTAAGCTTTCTAGTGTTCTCCTGTTGGGTTTTTGTGGGGTTTTTTTCGTGGTTAATTAGAGATAAGAGGCTCACAAACTTTCCTGATCTGGCTGGTTTTCAACCATGATACTCTGAATTTGGCCTCCTGAGTAGCTGTGATTACAGGTGGAACCACTGACACCCTGCTAGGTTTTGCTTTTCTTCGTGAAGACAACTAGAAATACAACAGACTGGGGGCACAGTTGCAGGGCAGTGAATGCTGGAGGCCCTGAGTTCAGTTCCCCACCCACTGCGGGAGAATTTGGGTTGTCATTGTCCATGTGTTCTCACCCTACCTGTAAATGTCTGGACAGCACTTCTAATTTTAAAAAAAAATCATTTGCAGGGCTGGGAAGGTGGCTCAGTGGTAGAGTGCTTGCCTTGCATGCATGAGGCCCTGGGTTCAATTCCTCAGCACCCCATAAGCAGAAAAAGCCAAAAGTGGTGTTGTGGCTCATGTGGTGGTAGAGCGCTAGCCTTGAAGAAGAGCTGGGGGACAGACAGCACCCAGACCCAGAGTTCAGGCCCCACAACCGACCCTCCCCCCTCAAAAAAAATCATTTGTTGTGCCACTCCTGGGGCTTGAGCTCAGGGCCTGAGACCCTGACCTCTTTTCCTTGAGGCTAGCGCTCCACCACTTGAGCCACAGCACCTCTTTCAGCTTGTTCTGAGTAGTTAATTGGAGATAAGAGTCTCTTGACTCTCAACTCTATCTTTCCTGCCTGGGCTGGCTTTGAACCAAGATCCTCAGATCTCAGCCTAAGTGGATACGAATACAGGTATAAGCCACCATCACCTAGCTCTCCTCTCACCTTCTGAGTAGCTGGAATTACAGGTATGTGCTACCAGTGCTGGCTCCTTTACTTCTCACTGTCCCAGGGACCAGCAGAACCATTGGGCTCTATCTTCCGGATAGCACTTCCCTTATCCACACTATAGGCACACGATCACAGTTACAATACACTTTCCTAATATAAGCTGTCCACGGCTTTTGGAGGCCTCAAGGGTTCCAGATGCGGCCAAATTCTCAGTTTCCTTTTTATCCATCTCACCCACAGAGCCCTGACTTCCCATTCTGAACATCCCAATGCTCACATGCTAATTCAAAAGGACTCCCCCCCCCCAAAAAAAAAAAGCCAGGAAGCTGAGTCTCTGAAAAGACCCAAAAACAAAACTGCATGAGTCTTCTCCTAAATCCCCAAAGATAGCTAGAAACTCCTTGACAGGGGAGCTTTAGTCACTTTGAGTGTCAACTCCTCAGGAGAAAACATGATTGGCTTGAGGTGTGATCATGCACTGTGTACTGGGCAGCAGGCATCCTGGGAAATGAGGGGCCAGGGCAGCATGCAGCTCCGGCCGTGGCTGTGGCATTTAAGTGCAGTGGGAAGCCTGAGTTTTGTGACCCTACCGTATGAAAAAAATTGAAAACAAGCCAATTCCACAGCAGTGTCACAAAGCATTGCCAGTTTAATAGTGCAGTCAAGCCAGGCACCGGTGGTTCATGCCTGTAATCCCAGCTACTCAGGAGGCTGAGATCTGAGGATAGCAGTTCAAAGCCAGCCCAGACAGAAAAGTCCATGAGACTCTTATCTCCAATAAACCACTCAGAAGTGGTGCTGTGGCTCAAGAGGTAGTAGCCTTGAGCTGTAGAGCTGAGGGATAGCACCCAGGCCGAGTTCAAGCCCCAGGACAGACAAAAAATAAAAAGTGCTGTCACCAAATCAGCTTCATAATTAACTTTTCCACATTGATACTTTGGACCTCTGGTAAACAAACCTCAGTTATGTTTCATGACCCTTGCTTCTGGACTGTCAGTTGAGGCTCACCGGGGGCCTTTTTTTGTATAAATTTTCCCTAAACGCTGGCAAATGTGTCTTCAAATGTTTGATCAGCAAGGGCAGAGCTGGGGTTTGAACCTGAGCACTAGAGCATGAAAAACTATTGAACTACCATTTATGGAGCAGGAGTGAAGTGAGAAGAAAGCAGGCTGTTAATATTAGGGGAGTATATTATTTATGGTATATTATTTAGATTGCTTGCTGTGAGATTTTATATGTAAAAAGATCATGAATGCAGGACTGGGAATGTGGCTTAGTGGTAGCATGCATGAAGCCCTGGGTTCGATCCCTCAGTACTACATACACAGAAAAAGCCAGAAGTGGTGCTATGGCTCAAGTGGTAGAGTGCTAGCCTTGAGCTAAAGAAGGTCAGGGACAATGCCCAGGCCCTGAGTTCAAGCCCCAGGACTGGCAAAAAAAAAAAAAAAGGAAGAAAAGAAAAATAGAAACAGAAATGGCTATTAGAATAAAATCAGAATAGTATTATGTCTACAGGGAACTGGATGGACCTAGAAAAAGTGAAGTCAGAGCCAGAGAGACAAAACACATGTCTCATGTGGAAGCTTGAGCTAAAATATAACCATGATGACATACCCACACTGATTAAATGATGGCATGCTCGGGGAGGAGTTCAAAGGTGGAACTCCTAAAGGATCATTTAACAAAAAGAACAACAAGTAGAAGCCTGTTTGGGGGGGATGGATGGAGGGCATGGGGGCGCACACAGAACGGAAGGAGGAAGGAGAGTGATTGCAGATATCGTGTTCTACATTATGTAAACATTGAACTATGTAACTTGAGGGTAGGGATGGGCCGGGGAAATGGGGGAGGAATGAAAGAAGAGGTAACATGGATCAAGATGCACTGTACTCATAACCTGACTTAGGTAACTGTAATCTCTTAGTATGACTACTTAAATTTTTTTTTTTTGGTTGGTTGTGGGGCTTGAACTCAGGGCCTGGGTACTGCCCCTGAGCTTTTTTGCTCAGGGCTAGCACTTGGAGCCACAGAGCTATTTCCAGTTTTCTGGTGATTCACTGGAGACAAATGTCTTATGGACTTTGCTGCCCAGCCCAGCTTTGAACCACGATCCTCAGATTTCAGCCTCCTGAGTAGCTAGGATGACAGGCGTGAACTACCAACACCTGGCCAATAAAATTTTTTGTTAATGATAAAAGGGCAGGGGGAATGGCTGCCATAGTAGAGCACCTGTCTGAGCAAACACAAGGTCCTAAGTTAAAAACAAAATTAAGCAACAACAAAACAACCAACTGCTGTGATGTGAGCTGGCAGCTCACAGCTATAATTCTCCCAGTTAGAAGGCTGAGACCTGAGGACCACGGTTCAAAGCCAAACAGGATGGACAAACCACCGAAATTCTTATCCCCAATTCACCTGGAGGTGTAGCTCAATTAGTGGAGTGCCAGCCTAGAGAAAAAGGTTAAGCAAGAGCTTCCGGTTCAGAGGTCAAGCACCAGTACTACAAACACAACGATCTATGCATATGATCTATGCATATGTGTGCGTGGGCGCACACAGATAGAGGAATGAGTTATTTCCTCTTTTTGGTACTTCGTTTCAGTTTGATTTTACAGGTGAAGTTTTTTGTTGTTTTTTTTTGGCGGGGGGGTGGGGGGTGGGGGGGGTCCGGTCATGGGGC